CAGGAATGCTTTGGATAGGACTGGGCAACACTACTTGTACCCATCTCTTCAGTGGGGATGGAAGGAGCAGAAGGGAGGTTTGGGGTTGCAGCTGGTCCTTTGCTGCTTTTTGTAGCCCTGGTGGCCTGGCCCATATACTGTCATGCAGCTCTGCAGGAGGGCTCTGTCTCCCAAAGATGGAAATCCTGAACAGGTTTTATGCCAGGGTGGTGAAAATCTGCAGACCAGCCATTACTGAGACAGATAATATACACTGTGTGTTGGTCTGCCAAATGAAGTAGATTCAAGGTGACTTCAGTTTCAAACAGCTTTCCTCCTATTTTATGGCATGACAAAGGGAAAAAACCAGAAAAACTACAAAAGGAAGCCAGATGTTTTTCTCCCTACTTGATAGCAAGGTGGACAGAGACACAAAGAAATGGAAACCTGTGGGACTCTGCTTCCAGTCCCAGCTGTGCATGTGCCACCCCTCGTGGGGGCTGCTCCTCTGGCCCCCACTCCACCTCTTTTCTTCATGATGTGTGACACTGAGTCAGGTTTAAACCACATGGGTCTGGGTCAGAAGAATAGATTTAACGTAAAAATGTAAATCAGTTTTGGAGTGCAGTAAAGCAGCATTTTATAATTCTGATATTTCCCATCAATGGTTAAAGAATTTGTACACCCACCTTGCCTGACCTCAGCTCTTGCTAAACCCTCCCACCCATGGTAGTAGTTTTTGTACTGCAGAGAAGACAGCATTGCTGTTCAGTGGAAGTGTGTGGCATTTACTGCTCTCTTTGGTTTAATAGGATTATTTCATCCCTGAACATGACAAGTGCAAGCTTCTTTACTGTGATTACATGCTCAGAGCTTTGTTTCTGTTTGCAGGCAGGAGATACCTGTCTGCATGTGGCTGCTCGTTATAATCACTTGCCCATCGTTAGGGTGCTGCTCAGTGCTTTCTGTTCTGTCCATGAAAAGAACCAGGTCAGTGCATGAACCTCATTGCGACTCTGCACCCTTGGCATATGGCTGGTTGTTGGGAAGAGGGTTTCCTACCCAAGTAATCCTGCTTTACTCTGTGTTTAACTGTGCCACCAAATGCCTGAGCTTTTTAAGAGTAGCCTGAAAGCAATGGCGTATCAGTGGTTTATTGTTTTGCCATCACATTTGCATCATTTCTTTAAAGCATTGCCTATTTATACTGGTTCTGCAATTGCATGTTGGTATATAAAGGGGGTTTGGGACAGGGGTAGTCATAGGGTTGGGAGTTGGCAATCCTGGGTCCTTACCAGTTCTGTGCAGCATAGGACTGGGTGAGACTCAGTAATTTCTGGGGGCTCATTTTCCTTTGCAGCTATATTCTAATTGGGTGGTAAAAAGGAGTGGATTTAGTATACTGGAATATGTTAAATCTGCTAAATAAACAGATTATGTGGTGCTTAACCACATTGTCTTATGTTCCTGGGAAATTTTCCTTGTGTACCTGAGGATAATTAAGATGTTTTCTGATCTGTACATTTAATCTTGTTTCTTAGATATGAGATATTCCAGCAGACAAAATGGGTTTCAGCATGCTAAATTTACTATGTAATTTTATTTGGAAATGAGTTTTTTAACTTACAAAATGAGCTACTGAATATTAAGATTAACTGATGTGAACCTGTCCCAGAAGGACAACCCTTTTTCTTCATTCCCGAGCACTACTGTGAGTTGTTCCATATTTGCACATATAATGATTTCATTTATGAATACACCTCATCCAAGTTAGCAACAGGTGGTAGATTCCCACTAGTCTGGAGATCTAATTTTCTGAAGGCAAAATGCAAGGCAAAGGGGAGAGGAGGGTATTACATACACGTGTTTGGTCTCCCTTGAACAGCTGCTGGCTCTGTTACTGGTGCCTGAATCTGATCACAGCTGTCTCCACCTCACTGCACCAGGACAAGGGCAGGGAACTGTGTTAGTGCTGGACCTGGATCACCTCTGGCTTTGGTCCAAAACCTGTTTTTCTTGAGGAAGCTCGTGAAGAGAACACCAACCATCTTGCTGGTGGTACTTACCTGATCATTTTTGAGTAACGTGATACGTGACCACCTGCCCACCAAGCATCCAGACTGCAAAAAAAAGAAAAAAAAGAAAAAAAAAAAAAAAGGAAGGTTGTGGTGGGAAAACTGGTTTTGGCCTCAGGTGTCATATCCATTTGCTGGCAGTAGAGCTAGTGTGCCAGCAAGCTGTGTCATGTGTCACTTGGCTGAGTCAAACCAGACCACCAGCACCCCAGCTGCATTTCTCAGAATCAGACTGAGGTAGCTCCTTGCCCCCTCCTGTCCCCTTCCTACCACCTTTTTTTTTATTGATCAGGTCTTATTTAAGCTTAGTTGTTCCATCAGTAAGTGTAGGCCTTTTCACCTCTGAGCATCCTTTCTGTGTGATTTCTGCAAGGGACTTGTGTTACACACTTGTTTTCTGCTCTCTAACTTGCAGGCAGGGGATACTGCACTCCACGTAGCTGCTGCTCTGAATCACAGGAAGGTGGTTAAGCTGTTGCTGGAGGCAGGGGCTGATGCATCTGTTGTCAACAATGTAAGCAGGACGTGGAGTTTCTTTGGTGTTTTGCATTAAGGCAGACTCCCTTCAATGCTCTTTATAGTGTTGGTAGAAAATATTTGGGTATTAGACTTGAATTAAATCTAGATAAATAAAAGCAGTTAGTCACTTTACTCTTGTACACAAGAGTATAGACTAACATCGGGTGGAAAAATTCCACATTTCCAGCAGCTTGTGTTTTGAAGGAAATGCCATTTACTTTTTCCTCTCAGGCAGGTCAGACCCCTCTAGAAGTTGCCAGGCAGCACAATAACCCTGAGGTTGCACTTCTTCTCACGAAAGCATCGCAGGTACGTTACAACATACACATACACATGGAGCTGAGGCCAGTTAACCTTGAGAGGCCACAACTCCTGGTCCATAACATTCTGCTTGGAAAGGTGCCTCTCTTTCTGCTGGCATTGTGTGCTGGCCTCAGGTCTACTGACATGGAGCCTTTCAGCCCCAAGCCCCACAAGGTATGCAGGGTAAGCCTCAGCATTTAGCATTGGCAGAGGTCCTGGTTCTCCTGACTGGCAGATGGTGGAGCAGCTAGAGAGGCACTTTTTCCTGTGGTGGCCCAAGGGTTAGAAAGCTGCCCTGTACCCAAAAGGTCCCAGGTTGTGTCCCTCTGCTGACTGCCTCAGACATCCCCAAGCTGGTTGCTTTCACTGGAAGGTTCTTTGAAAGGGGGGCAAAATATCCTGTTTATACTCTGCTGCTGTGTGTGTGCTACAAATGCTCTTCAAGCCAGAAGGCACGTGGGAGGGCTTTGTATTCTGATATGAGACCAGGTGTGATCCTGTCCTGCTCCTCGTTGTCACCCCTGTGTGAGAAGGGCTTGGCTTGGCAACTGGCCCAAGGACACAGGAAGAGGACAGCAAAGGGACTTCAGTGGTGGTGTGTTCTCACGACTATAAACACTGACATGGCTTGGCCCATCCGTGTGCACCTGGCAGTGCACCCTCCGTTATCTATTGCCTTTCCAATAGAGCTGAAAAAGGTCTGCTCTGTTGCTTGGCTTCTGTGGTAGGAGAGAGCACGACGTGACTGAGTAACAGTGTGGTCTGCCTTCAGGTCTCGCGCTTCAATCGTGGAAGAAGCCTGAGGAAGAAGAGAGAGAGGCTGAAGGAGGAAAGGCGAGCTCAGTCGGTGCCGCGGGATGAAGTGGTGCAGAGCAAGGTACAGCCCAGCATCACCTGCTGCAGCCCCTGCGAGGAGGGAGCATAAATAAAACCCATCAGGACTAAACCTATTTGGAACTGTCACCTGTGCACAACCACAGCAGCTGTCTGAGGCAGTCTGATGTACTTTGCTGCTTAAAGAGTGGCTTAAAACTGGGAAATGGCAGAAGAGGCACCTTTTCCCCGTCCCTGCGGCGGCTTGACCTCCTTGTCTTTGCTCTGAGCGGGGCAGCGTCTCGGCTGCTGACGACACACCCAGCAGTGACCAGCCAGCACAGAGGAGGAGTGACCCGAAGGATGAGCCCCGCTCAACCTCACCAGACCCCAAGGGGAAGAAGAGCAAAAAGAAGAAGCCAAAGGAAAAGGTATCAGGAGATTTGAAACAGCAGTGAGAGGAGCAGTAGCTGTGGAGCAGTAATGGTGCAGGTATCCCCTTGGCGTGTCGCTGAGGGGCTGTCAGGGCTGCAGGCACACCCTGCTCATGGAGCAGAGGTGGTCTTCAGGCAGTTTCTGGGGGGTGCATTCTGCTCTTGAGGGTCACACAAACCAGGTTTGTGCAGAAATCTGCTGGCCATGCTGACACAGCAAGGCTGTGCCCAGCCGCTGCAGCCGGATCGGTGTTTTCAACCCGGCTTGTCACGACGGATTTGTCCTGTTCCCACCAGGAACAGTAAGACCAGGAGGGGAAACGCTGTGTGTGCTTCGTGCAGGTGTCAGCCCTCTCGGACCCGGTCTCCCCGGCGGACCAGCAGGCGCTGCCGCAGCCCCAGCAGCATCCGAAGCGCAGGAGCAAACACCGCTGCCCCTCCCCGCCCCCGCCCCACGAGGTCCGAGCCTACCAGCTCTACACGCTGTACCGGGGCAAGGATGGGAAGGTGATGCAGGTGAGCTGCCCTGCTGGGGGGAGGGCTGGGGCAGTTCGCTCACGGGCAGGAGCTGCGCTGGGTTAACTGGTCTCCCAGGGGTATGAAGTCCTGCCTCTGGGTTTGTGTTCCTTGTTCAGCTGCACTTCAGCCCGAGGTCTGGCAGGCAAGAAGCTGCTTTTGTGCGTGTTGAAGGAGACACATTTAACTAGTTTTGATCTAGAGAGTATTCCCTTTTTAGGAGATAAGGTGTGAACAGTGACTGGAAATGACGCTGAAGATACACCTTGAAATAGGAAGATTTCTGACAGGAAGTGCAAAGAGCTTTTCCAAGGAGACTGGGTGAGGGCAGTGTGCGAGCACTGCAGCTTGCTGCCTAAACCAAGTTCCTGAGAACGCCTGATACGTTTTGGTTCAGTTCTTCCTGTTTATTTGCAACATGTCTTTGGGGATTCAAGGATGACTGGAGGCAGGAGCTGTACAGAAATTGGTTCACAAGTAAACAGAGTTACCAGCTCATGTGCATTTATTCCAGTTTAGAGGCTGGTATTTTACTAATTTTATTATGCAAGTATTTACCAGTACACGTTTATGACACACAGTCAGCAGATTACCCTGGAGACACTGTAAACGTCTGTATTGTTGTTTTCTTAATATTGCCCTCCTGTACCTCTGGGAGGTCAGTCCTTCATTTCCTTAGCTTCTCACCTCCATCCACCAGCTCTCCTCAGTCCCTTGATGTAGATAAGAAATTCTGCAGATCACTCAAGTGAGACTTCAAAGGTTTTACTGTCCATATTTTCCAACATCGGTGTAAAGCTTGGGAAATTTTCAGACAGGGGCACTAGGGGATTATCCTAATAGCAGGCATCAGGAAGGATGGAGGGCCTTTCATATGTTAAAACAAGTATCTCCCTGCCCCGGGGATCTGATGGTAGGAGGATGGGCCAGTAGGAAGGACTTGGGGGGCAGGAAGAAAGGTGCATAGAACAGACAGGATTTGTATACAAATGTAATAGTCAGAAAGATTAGTTTAATAGAGCTAGACTGTCATGGTATTTCCTGAAATACACGGCAGTCCTCTCTCCCCTTCTTTTTTTGCTTGCCTGTCGACTTTGATGCCCTCGGGCCCTGAAGAGTAAACGATTTCTTAAGTAAATGTATTTCTGAAGTGTTCTCTAGAGCTCCACGAGCCACCCACCTTCCCTGCCAAGGGAGTAACCCCCAGTTTGTGCAGTGGTGCTGCAGGGCCAAAGGAAAGAGGGAGGCTCCTCTGCAGACGGATTCAGAGCAGCCATTTCAGGCTCCTCACTCATCCCCCTGAAGGAGACAATTTCTGCCTGTGGACTGCAGAGGAAGCTGATGAGGATTGTCCTCACTTAAGGGAGTCTTTTGGGACCATTTAAATGCGGTCAGTGCAGCTCCCCTTGCAGAGGAGCCTTTGTCCTGTCCAAGGAAGGCATGGGGTGTGCTCAGCTGCATGCCAGCAGAGTGAAGGTAGACACCAACAACAGTGAGACCTTGCCAAACAGTGCAAAAAAGAGCAGATTATTTGCATTAGTTTAAAAAACAGATACATACAAAACCACACACATCCACAGAATCAGATTTTTTTGTACAATTCAGAATTACAGCTTCAAGACACAGGGTATCAATCTGAAATGTGGTGTATCTCATGGGGCACAAAGTACCATGGCATGTGTGATCTGAGCTCATTGCTGCTTGTAGCCCCAGCAAAGTCAGCACTGCTGTTTGTTAGGATTGTGTGCATGAATCAGATCAATCCTTTCCTCTACTCTGTGCTTTTCCAGCTAATAGCCTGTTGGCTGAGCTACTGTAAGATGTTATCTGGAGGTTGAGGTACAGAACATGGTACAGGAGAGCCCCAGACAGACTCAAGGAGGCTGCGATAATGTTCCAAGTGCACTGAGAGGACAGAGGGATGTAGCAAGTAAATGTATTACTTCCTTTCAGGCACCAATAAATGGATGTCGTTGTGAGCCCCTGATAAATAAACTGGAGAATCAGCTGGAGGCAACAGTGGAAGAGATAAAAGCTGAGTTTGGAACAGTACAAGATAAGATGAATGTTAAGCTGGGCCAGATGGAAAGCAAAACTCAGCATCAAGTAAGAGTATGACCCTGAGGTCATATATAGACCCACGTTACTCTTAGAAACTCATCCTACGCTTACTGAATATTTTCATTGTTAGGATGCTTTTATTGCTTCTTGTGTTGGAAAAACGAACCTGAAATCTAATATTTAAGATCAGGAAACTGTGACATTCCACAGGGATCTAATGTTGCAAACCAGGGACTTGAGAAAAACACATGTAATGTGTTAAGTGGCTTCAGGTGCTGCTTTAGACAATGAATCTAAATTCCTTGAGGCCCTAAGAGGGAAACTTAAAGCCAGAAGGCAGTCCTACAGATGGTCAGTTCATAATTGTAAAAATCCCTCTTGCTGAATTCTGTTTGCACTGAGATTGAAGATCCTCTAAATTATTTTTTTTTAAAATTTGTAATGTAATTATTATTGATATGAATTGATATTTTTGTGGTTGGCAGCATTCCTACAAATGAAGGCTGCAAGACAGACTGTGCTTTGACAAGGTTCACAGGTGGGGGTTTTGTTTGGTTTTTACCATGATCATCTCAGCTAAAGTGTGGGGTTTTTTTTCTGCAGCTCCGTGTTTTGGACAAGCTGATGGCTGAGCGGCTGTCTGCAGAGAGAGCAGAGTGCCTGCACCGCCTGCAGCAGCACGCTGAGCTGGAGAAAAACGAGGGGGAGAAGCGGCAGGTAGGGCTGCAAACACCTGCTGCCTGGTAGCTCAGATGGATCAGTCCAAGAGTTCAGTTCCAGCAGGCAGAGAGAGTATCACAGAATCGTTCTGGTTGGAAAAGACCTTCAAGATCATCGAGTCCGACCATAACCTAACTCTACCGACCATAACCAAACTCTACCAACCATAACCTAACTCTACCAACCATCAGCCTATCTCTACCAAGTCCCATGCTTAAACCATGCTCCTAAGCACCACATCTACATGCCTTTTAAACACCTCCAGGGATGGTGATTCAACCACCTCCTGGGCAGCCTATTCCAGCTTTTAATTACCCTTTCTGTGAAGAGGTTTGAGATTTATCTTGTCTGTTGAAACAGACAAAAGAGCTTCAAAGACCAAATTATTCATACTAACCCCCTTAATCTCTAGCCCAAATTCATAACAATTCTGCATGAGAAACGGGGAATGTGAAATCCAGGCCCAGTGTTGTAATTTAATTTGGTAGGTCTGAAGTGTGGGATCTACAACAAAATACCTTTTTTTCTAACACAGTGCTTTGCAAAAATTCCACCTGCTAAGTTTTTAACAGTTCTCCTTTCAGCTTTTGCTTCACTAAGGGAAATCTGCAGGAAAATCTGCAAATAGTAACAAAGGCCAAGATCTGTGTTATTCCTTTTACTTCTCATCTTTTTGGTTGTGTGCCCTGGGAATCTCTCCTTTCCCTTTCTGATAGGTTATTTTGCCCATGTAATAAAAGGCTGCAGTTGTTTCCTCTGACTTCAGCAGATTGAGTTTGGCTTTATGAAATACAGGGACTAAATGTCCATGTGCATGGGAGGGCCTCATGTCATTTAAACAAGGGGGTAAAGAGCTACTGATATTTTAAGTTATTACAGGCAAATGCCTCCATGACTGATGCTTATTGAGCACCTTTGTAATTTATCATTTAGTGGCAGATTCAACTTTATCACTGAGTGGACAGAGGAGAAGAGGTTGGTAATGATACAAAGCTGTGTCCCAGAAGTGCTTTAATTTGAATTTCACTCTTAAAAAATGGAAGCTTTGACCACATGTGATGTTCCTTGTACTTAGAAAGTACCACTGGACTGTATGGTTAAACAAAGTCGGCCTTGATCAGAGGACTTAAGAGTTGCATTTGAAGTAGCACATTCAATTCTAAGAGGTGGTAGCTTGGACTAAAGGGTAGCCTTTCATTAGCTAATGCATAGTTCTTAATCTTTTCTGATTTGCAGTCCTTTTAAATATTCCCAGTGGCAGCACACGTATCTGTACAGAGAGTCTAAGCCCACACATCCCCGGCTTGCTTCTCTTTGTCCCTGCCACATGTTTTCAGCAGCCCGGGAACCATAGGATCTCATCATAGGATCATCTAATTCAGTCTCTTTCTCATAGACTTCCTTGGTTGATGAGCTGAAGACTTGGTGCATGTTGAAGATTCAGAATCTGGAGCTCAAGCTTTCTGGAGATTCCAGGTCATCGAGGCCAAAATCAACTTTGTCCACTTGTGAGTCTCTCACAGAGACCCTGGATACTGAGAACAACCCCCACAGTGCCAAGGACTGCAAAGGCAACCAGCCCACGCTGCAGTCAGAGGGCTCCCACCAGCATTCCTACATCGCGCTCCCAAACACCCTCTCGGACGACGGGGGAAGGAGCAGAGTCCAGATGCCAGAACAGAGCTTTGGGCAACATTTTTGTGTTCAACAAGATGGTGTGTCAGGTACTTAATGTTATACTCATTCAAAGGCAAGCTAATTAACTCTGGGATACTTGTATTCATACCACAGATACTAATTTTCCTCCCTGCATATGCGTAATGTCTTGGGATTAGAATATACTTCAAGGCAGCCACTGGGAATATAGTAATCATGGTTGGGTGGTATTCCAGTGGTTCTTCCCGATGCTTCCATGTCACTATGTCTTTGAAGCCAAGTCCTTTGATGCTCTGAATAACTCTGAATAACTTCTCTGAAAGTTATCCAGCTTCCCAGTCGGAACTGCTCCCACTCCATTGTTGGTCAGGAAAGTGTGCAAATTATCCAAAGACTACTGAAGAAAGTGTACATCGTTAGTGCTTTTCAGATGTATGGATCCTAAAATGGCAGAGTGCAGGGACATGAACCTAAAATTCTCATTTCCCTTGTTAATATTCAAACTGCTAGGATGCAGAATAAACCTCTCACTTTTTCCCCTTTCTTTAAACCAAAGTCTGTTAATTTGACAAGAACAAAACCAGCTGAGAACATTCAAGCCCATTCAGTGATCTGAAGATACGGGAGACCTCGACTCAAGCCACTTCTCTCTGCTTGGCTGTGGAAGCTTTTGAGGAAAAAAGAAGCAGGCAGCATGCCCAGGTCTCCAAAGCCAAGGACAGCACTATCAAAGCCCTGGGCTTCTGTAAAATACATTGTATATGCCCCCAAAACTCTATGCAGAGTGAACAGATGTAGGTATGGATACCCCATCAGACTAGAAAGGCAGAAGACCACTCAGGAGATCTTATGGCAGCATGAGTGTGAGCTATAAGTACTGCATTGGACAGTTCATAAGTATCAAAATGTGTTACCTTTGCAAAATTAGTGGGGCTTCAGTTTTTGTAGAAGCAGGGCATTCATAATTATCAGCAGACATAAACTACTTTGGGAATCTAGCCTGATCTTTGATGCAGATTCTTCTGCTGAACTCCTTTGATTGTTTTCAGGCTGTAAGTCCCACAGGCATAATGCAGTGCCTCTCTGCCTGAGCCAGCTTTTCCCTTTTGATGACTCTTTTATTGTATCACCTGACTGTGAAGGTGCAATACACTCAGACACAGCTCTGCAATGTACACACAGCATGGTACACGGGAAACAGCATCACTCATCCAACAGTGAGAATTCATGAAGGCTAAAATTAATGCTCAGAGCTTTTCTAAGTATGTATGTGTCTATTTTCTTCTGTAGGTACAGAGCAACAGTTAATCGTTGGTGGTCCAGTCTCTTCTTCTGCCCTTGCTCAAGATGTCAGGCCAAAGGACAAAGCTGTTAGTGCCAGCACGTTCCACAGGTTCCAGCAGGAGCTGCCCTCCTCTGAGGCTTTGGCCTCCAAATTAAGACACGTTAAGGTTCAAGCTGCTTTGCAGCCTTTGAGTGAACCTTCGAAGACTGAACCACAGAGTGGCCACTTCATCGACAAAGGAACTCAGACAAAGAAGTCCATCAGAAGCAGTCAGTCAAGGCACAAAGCTCTGCATCACCCGGGGGCACATCAGAGCCAGGAGCAGCAGCCCTCTGCCCCACCTGCAGGACAGCCTGCCCCAGCACCCAGAGACACCTCCCAGGCCCTGGAGATAACACAGTACTTCTTCGAGGCTGTTTCCACCCAGATGGAGAAGTGGTATGAACGGAAGATAGAAGAAGCCCGATGCCAAGCTAATCAGAAAGCACAGCAAGACAAAGCTGCGCTCAAGGAACACATTAAAAGCTTAGAAGAGGAGCTCAGCAAATTAAGGACTAAGGTGCAGAAGGAGAGCTAGCACCTACCAAGCAGGTACAGATGAGCAGACTCACAGAATCATTCTGGTTGGAAAAGACCTTTAAGAACTTTGAGTCCAACCATGGGACTCATTTTGGAACCTGTTGTATAGGAATCTGGAATATTGTTATATACATTTGTAGTGTCTGTTACAGCCAAACAATGCTCTTTTTCAGGAGTAGAAATAATTTTGGAAACTCCAGAACCAAGGAGAATTCCTATGCAGACTGTACTGATGACAACGAGATGCTGCAGATTAGATCCTTTCTTTGTTATTTCCAAGAGTCCGTTAAATACTGCACTCTCCATTCCAGGTGCTGCCTGAAGACACATTGCATTAGAAACCAAAACTGCTTTCTGAAAAGCAGCCATACCAATACCAATGAAGTAAATCCAGGATGCTTGAGAGCTTTTGACAGGAATTCCTCAGTGATGAAGGGCTATTGATACTATTTTAGGTGTGCCCCATGGCCTCTCTTTAGTCAGGGAAGAGAAGCTACAGAACCAACTCAAACTACAAGCCCAGGCAGGTGACAGATGGAGGCTTCTAGCTGGGAGAGGCCAGGCTGCCATGAGTGAGATGCTGAGGTGAGTTACCCATGAGGTACGGAGGTTGCAGTTGCTGCTTTGCTCTTCTTTTGTTTTCACATTATTATAACAAATGCTACATTAGATTTGTCTTTTTTAAATCTTGTCTTGATGGCAAAGCTTGTGGTTACGTGCTTGTCAGGGCGATACTTGAGTAATCTGAGTTTTGTTTAGGGCATGGATGGCAAGTATTTTACCATAAGCATGCCCTACTTGTTAAGTGTAATTGTTTATATAAATCTCTTTCCCCTCAAGCAGCAAATGTCTGAATTCTCTACTACTGAAGAAGCTTGAAAAAGTCCTTTATCTAAACACACAGGTTCCCTGGATTTTCTCCCAGACACCTTGTCCACACTGTCTCTTCACTCATCTGAGTGATTCCTCTCTATTTTCTCTTGTATCTCAAAAAAGAGGCTGGGCCCTGGTGAGTTTGCTGGTCTCAGGACTGGTTTCACCAACAGACCCACAAAACAGAACTCAACACCATTTTAAAGTTTTTATGGATGTGTTTTGTTACAAAATCAAAACTTAAAATGATTGGTGTTGTTCAGGCTGACAGACTCCACATAAACTAGAGGCACCATAACTCCTTGTTCCATCTGCAGCCCTTCAGGGTTTCCTCCTTATACCTCTGAGAAGGCTCCATCAGATTCTGGTTAAAAAATAAGTTTACTTAAAAGATCATGATAAAACAACTGTTCAAAACCAGCTGAAATACAGAATAGTACTGTTATGCCAAGGACAAAAAATTTTTTTCTTCTGTACTGCCCTAAAATCAAAATTCTTTACAGTATTGAAAACACCATTAAGTAATTAAGTAATTAAGCTTTTGTCTTCTTAGCAGATGTATAAAGCAAAGAAAATTGTATTATATAACAATATTTTTAAAGTTCCTATTAATGTGCTATCAAGAACAGAAAGATATATCTGTAGTTAGAGAAATACTACTTTTATTGCTCTGACTTCTCTAGTCTAATATAGACCCTTTTCATATGTTTACAGGTTTGTTTAAGCTACTGTAGGAATGCACAGGCATGCTATTTAAGTTTTGTATCATCTTGATAAAGTGAAATGTTTTGCCAAGCAATTAAAATAAGTGTTGCTCAGAAGCCTGTGGTGGTATGTTCTCTAGCCAGAGAAAATGGACACAATTCCCTTGTTTGACTCAGAAAAGGGGAGCAGAAAATTGGACTTTGACTTCTAACCTTTTGTGTTTGTGGCTATAAAACATGGAAGTGAGTGCTACAGTGTGTCCCACCACCATACTGGCATTGTTTCTGCCAGTTCCTTTCCACTCCCTCTGTAGTTCTCCCTCCTTCAAAAGTAGTTACTAGAGTTGTTACGTTGAAAGACTTCTTCACAAAATACCCCTATTATCTACCATTCTCTGCAGAACACACTTTGTACATTTACTTGTCCTAGCAAACTGCACTTGGGCTCCTAAAGGCAATTTTATCTTGAGAGCCCGTCACAGCAGCAATCAGGACACTGCCTGTCAAGGCCTGTCCTGGCTTGCGTGGGCACAACCTAGAAATGCATGAGCTGGAGTCACAGGAGGAACCCAGACTGGGGTCTGAATGGAGAGCAGTGTGATGAGGTAGCAGGGTAAGCCTCCTCATTAGGGAGCAGAAATCAACCCACTGGCTGAAGGGAAAGTGAAGGGTACACATTAAGAACAAGCCAACACAGATTATGGCTTTGTTGGGTAGAATTCCCATCTCAGCAGTATTTTCTGGTAAAGTGACAAACCAGCCCTCAGCACACGAATGTTCTGTTAGTGCATTCTACCAGAAAATGTAAACAAAGTACAGATTTTTAATAACATATTTAGAAATACATATATTTCATTTACTTACTAGAAGCTCAAAGGCTTCTGCCTACTCAAATCTGAACTCTTTAACAGCCTCCCTGGGTGCCTGAGCCACACATCCTTTACTGCGAAATTAAATAAACATCATAGGAAAGGTTTCTGCAGTGACTTTCAGAAGAATTAGGGAATAAAACCCAAACCCTCCAGCAGCAGTATTTTCTGGTAAAGTGACAAACCAGCCCTCAGCACACGAATGTTCTGTTAGTGCATTCTACCAGAAAATGTAAACAAAGTACAGATTTTTAATAACATATTTAGAAATACATATATTTCATTTACTTACTAGAAGCTCAAAGGCTTCTGCCTACTCAAATCTGAACTCTTTAACAGCCTCCCTGGGTGCCTGAGCCACATATCCTTTACTGCGAAATTAAATAAACATCATAGGAAAGGTTTCTGCAGTGACTTTCAGAAGAATTAGGGAATAAAACCCAAACCCTCCAGCATTTTTTTTTTCTGCAAAGCAGCTTTGCTGTAATCTGTAGTTTTGAAGACTCTTTGGCTCCAGCAAGAAGCCTCCCTCCTGCTCCAGAGTGGGGGCTATCACCCCTCCTGCAGCCTGGCTGGAGGGCGTTCTGCCCTGTCCCCTCCCTTGTGGAGGTGGCTCTCTCCATGAACTGCAGTAGCAGAGAGGGAGAGGGAAGGCTTCTGGCACCTCTGGAAACCACCACCTCAACTGCAACCACCACCAACTCAGCTGCTGTTCTCTGGCTCCTCATGTTGCAAAAATCCCAGACTCACCTTTTAAATCCGCACAGTAGAAAAAGGAGTTACCACTATGAATGTTACCACTTAGGAGTTGCCACAATAGAAAACAAACAAAATAATCTGGTTTACATTTATTTTCCTTTTCCCTGGCATAACACTGCAGTTGTAACGTCTGATACTTTCTGCTTTTCCCACAGCACATGCTACATCATCCATTCAGTTGTTTAAAGGCCTTTGTGTCTGACCGATCTCCACATGGGAGGGTAACCAAACCAAGAAGAGGAAGGGGAAAAAAACCCATACAGAAAGTCACACTGCAGTAGATTCCACCTTCAAACATTAACAGGTTGTCAGGAAAAGCCTCTATTACAACCATATTCTGCAAAAGATACTGGTTTTGTTCACAGCAGATGAAAGTCCATCTGTCAACAAAACTAAGATCAGGATTTTGCCAGCTTAAGTGTTCTTTCAAGTTCCTGAAGTTGCATGTTGCCTTGAGTAATCATCATCCTGACTGCATCCTGTAAAACAAAATGGAATCAACTGAATGCCTGCACACAGCACAGGTTTACATGAGCACGCAGATTTTAACACATTAAAATACATACAATTCTTACCAGCACTGTTGTGATCTATTTCTTTGTGTGAAGTAATGCTATGAATTCATTAATCACCTTCTCCAATTCCTTAGTCATATGTTTGTCTTATGTTTGGGCACTAGTTATATCTTTGCTTTAGAACTCAGTTTTGAACTGGATTCAAGTTCCTAAGAATGTTTTGTTTACATCTCTGTGTCTCCTGCCTTTGCAAGTAGTGACACCTGCACAGAGGCAGCACGAAGGCAAGTGGATGTTTCCCTCAGTGTTATTTTTATCTAAGTATCTTTGCCTGCATAATTCAGCCACCAATTCCTTGAGCACTGGCTGGAAAAAGGAACCAACAAGAAATCAGAGAAACTTCACCAGTGCCGACAGAGGATCGCAGTTGGAGATGCTGAATTACTTCCTCACATAAATGCTCCTTAAGAGAAAGCAGCCGCAAACCTCACCAGCCTGACGTGCCACCTGAAGCAGAAAGGCGGGTGACAAGGGCAGGTCAGGGCGCCGGGGGCTGCGCGTTCCCGACCCTCACCCACCTCCTCGGTCGCGTCCTTGTTCCTCCTGAACTCCTCCCTGGCCCAGTCCTTTAAATACCGCCGATCTGCTTCAGCAGGGACCTGGCGAATGGCC